CAAAGCGTTATTATTTTTTTCCTGCTAGGTTTAATTACTGGCCCACTGTGCAGTGATTTCTTGTGGAACACACATTCATACCCATTCCTTTCTTGATCTGCGTTCGGGCAGTGAGGATGAATGCTAGTCCCAAGCCTCGCCCTTTGGTTCGCTGTGTAATTACAGCTGATCTGGCAAGCTAAGTAGCTAACCGTGGGCGGTTAATCATGCTCATAACCATTCAGCTGCACGCATCATATACATATTTCTAATGAGTGTGATACATCATGCCAATAAACTACAGATAACTAATTCCAAATTCATCGAACACTTCAATGCATTAGCAATTTATTGATTAAATAATTTGCATAAATCTTCACAGCTCCTTTTGACCACAAATGTAACGGCCCATTCAATCCTTATCGGGAACCAGTTCCCGTGCCGATTTCAGTCCCATCAACCGTTGATCCCGTTGGCCGTACTTGGTCTTTCGGAAGTTGGCATCCGTTCCATGCAGCCAGTCCAGAATGCCATTCGTACCGTAGCATTGGTTGAACCTGACCAAACACAATCGATTAATTGTTATATTTGTATCATCCACAACCGCCAAACCCTGCAAGTCACTTACTTCAAATGATGATAGTCATGGTACTCGGAGCTCATCAGGAATGGCAGATGGTATCCCGAGTGAGCCGTCAGCGTGTCCTGAATGACGTAGTTAAACCAGAGAGCCGATGTCACCACGTGGCACTTCATCAGCGAGACGCCAAGCATGGGCGGAATCATATTGCTGAATATATGCTCGATTGGGTGTGCGTAAATGGCTGCCCATGATATCGGGGCCGTAAATTCGTGATGTTGCTTGTGAATTATCTTGTAGAGATACTTGTGATGTAGCAACCGATGGCTGTAGTAGAATCCAACTTCCCACATGAAGATGCAAACGATGATGTCTCGAACCACAGTCGTCAGTGGGGGAAGTATGCGAACGTCCGGTAGATCCTTGTCAATTGAAAGGTGGAACCCGATGTACGTGAGGGGAGCTCCGATGACAAATTGGTTGAACAATACGGTTTTGACGATCTGCATGAACATAGAAGCAAGTAGATGTTAAGTTTTTGAATTTATGTGTTGCCAGGTCAGGGCAAACCTTTTTGAGATCGCTCCATTTGATTGGTTCATTGACACCCGGTTGAGTTTTGTACTTCCGTAGAAACTTTGGCTTTCCAGTTATGTCCATAATGATAAACAGGGCACCCATTAACCAGTAATGGGAGTAAGCATAGAACATCTGAACCCATATGTATAGGGTAGCTGGGTCATCACCTGTCGGGTTGTTATTGTTGTTGTGAGATTAGTCATTGCTTGTAATCAGATTTGATCGTAGAATACAGGCTCACCGCTGAAAAACGTTCCCGCTAATAAGCAGTCACCTTAAATCGCTTGTACAAACTTCCAATTCAGGTGTACCGATTGGCGGCAAACTCCAAACCAAATGTTTGCTCTTTTTTGTTTGTCTATTTATTAGGCTTCTACTTTGCAAGCCTACGCAGATGATATGGTGTTGTTGATTTTTTAACAGTTGTATGTTTTGTAGTGTACAGTTACGCTGTTGGTCAACAAAGCTAGAGTTCGAATGGATTGCTTGATTGTTCTTGCTGTGAAGCAGAAAGTTTATATCAAACAGTGTCTTAAAAAAGATGCTCTTTCTATTTGTAGACAGCATTGCACAGTGATCCAGGATGGTAATTTAGCTTTTTTGTAGCTTTAACTTTGTGTTTTTAAATTTAGAGCAAAATGCACTTCGGCAAAGGTGAGTTAATTACAAGCAACTTTTTCATAGAAAAATACACCCTTTTCAAAAATTACAAAATTATTACAATAAAAAAAACTAGACTTGTATTGACTTGTGGATTATATAGTTGAATAGCCGCAGAGTGCCAAAAATATATAATATAACCAAGTACCCTGTATAGTTTTAGTGTTTTAGTTCATGCCCAAGAGAAGTTATGAGCAAATGTATGAGTTTCTATAATTTGGAAAAAATCAAGAACTTGAAAATTAAAATTCACTGGCCACCCTACACTTTCTTTTGGTTTCTCTTTCTCGCCAGTTTCTTTCGATTACTGGTAGTTCCTCCGAGCCAACGTGTGAAGTAGTGTTAATGTAAACGAGTAAATTAATTTTCCATGTGTGGCACTTGCACTTTTTTTTGTGTGATCTTGAACTTTGAAAATTTTTGAAACTCTGAGAAATAGAAAAACTTTCAATATTCTAGGCTTGAAGAAATTATCAAACTTCTGAAAATGACTCTCTCAATTAATTCAATTTCTTTAACTTTCACAGGGAATATGTTTTCTCGTTCTTTCTGTTTCTCACCCATTTCGTTCGACTGTTGTTAGTTTCAAGTCAACGTACAGAGTTGCTTGATTCATTGAGCGTTTGAAAGAGCCATAAGAGCTGTAGAGCCATATTTAATTTCCTTCATGTTCAATATTCTTGGCACTGAATTCTGAAAAATTAACTTGGAAAAAATAATCGATATCCCGCACTTGAGTGACATCTTTGAATCCTTGAAGACATTTTCGAGGTTCTAAAAGAATAATATTTTTAAAAATGTCAAAATTCCGGTATCTTGGAAAAGTTTTCACTGATGTTGTCTGGATGATTATTCAAATGTTGGCTCTTTTTTAGGAACTCAATACTCAACACAGCAAAACATGTATTGAAAGCATCGACTTCTCTGAAACTTGATGTTTGATAGGAGGCAATCCATGTGGTATGCCTCTATGGGGGGATTAAGCAATGCATAAACTAGTTCAGCTGTTGTAGAGACCAGCTGTACCTCTTGGTCACTATGTCGTTGCCGTTGAAACCAAAAAATAAGACATGTTAGTAGAAGTGAAGAATACATTTACCCAATGAAGGTGCGTAAAAAAACCATGGGTGAAATTTATATTTTCGTACACTAGATGCAAATCCCGTTCAGATGGAAGCAACTTACCGGATTGCGGAGGAGAAAGCTCTTTTTTAATACAATGTTCATGCCAGAAGAATCGATGCTGCATGCATTAACGGATTAGTAACTCGGAAAATTTAATATTAATTTTCATTACTCTAGCTAGCGTTGGTGCTGTGGAAATAAGGTAAAGTTAAGCGTGTCATCCGTGCGAAATATCCTGCTTCGCTGTGCGTAGACATGATATATTCTATGACGGGAATAAAAACATCTCAAGTAACAACTTTGGTTGTATGATTGTATGAGGGTTCTGTAGACCATGATTTATACTTGTAGCATGCTTTAAAACCTCGTAAATATGTGTATGGCCTCAGTGGTCCAACCACCATGGCTATTACCATGTTCACTGGATCCGGCCGTGGCCAGTTTTGTGATTAAAAAATTGCTTCGTTCTTGCTGCTTGAGACTTGTTTATCCTTTGTGATACCAGGGGAATTTGGCTGAAACTGCTTTCAATCGATCCCCAACAGCAGACTTAGGTTCTTAAATTTATTGGATTTCTGGTATTTTTCAAGGTTGCAAATACTCATTTCAGCTAAAATAATGTTTTTCGGAATAATAAAACCAAAAGATGGTATGATGACATGTTTTACTTGTAACTTACAAGAAGAGGTTACAAAGTATGCGTTTGAAACATAAAACCTGTAAATTTTGCTTTCTATGAGTCACAATCAGCGATTTGCTGATCGCTGAGTGAGTGAGTGAGTGAGTTAGTGAGTGTGTGAAAAATCGCTGATTGTGACTCTCATGAAGTGAAATAAACAGGTTTAATATGTCAAACACATTCTATGCAACCTTTTCTTGTATGTTACCAATTCAAAATATGATCAAAGCATCTAATTATTTCATAATTTAAAAAAACATTGTTTTAGCTGAAATTAGTATTTTAAACCTTGGTATTTTCCCCTTAAAAGTGTGGTATCGTAAAGGTTACAGTCAGACCCTTCATAGAGTATGTATGAGAGGGAGAGAATCAATGGTGTAGTTAGGAGGGATGGTTAGGGTTCAAACCTCGTCCATCTCAGAAAGAAACATATTGGCTGTACCTCTGCTGAGAGTGTATTGTTTCATTGTTTCTACCAATACAAATGCAAAATTATGCAGATTTATATTTGCTATTAGTTGTTAACACACTAATTGTGACAGTGCTAGAGCAACTCCTAGGTTAGAACCTCCATCAATTTTAGTTGATTAGTAAAGTTAAACATTTATATCTAACAATATTTAAATCATAAAGATATGGTGAAGGCCAAAACTCGACAATGCCATATGTAAATTGTCACGCAACTTGGTGACAACTTATCAATAACAATCAATCTATGCTGCGACATCAATAAACCAGAACACAAGTATCGTTGTCATCTGCAACGCCCTCATAAAACACAAACCGGAATTTGATCATTGACACGAGACACAAGCTGTTCGAATTCGGTCAAGATCATCATCATCACCAGTCAGTTCAGCCTGTCATTCGCATGGTTGATCAATTGTTGGCCAATTTTACGATTGCACCCCGTCTGAGAGAGACCACAAACAACGGTTCACTAATCTGATACTGACCGGTGTGCGGTCGGGCCGGTGATGGCACAGAGGTGATTGCTCAAGTAGCCCCAACGAATGAAAAAAAGAAGAATATTCGACCAAAGTTGGTCAACTGTCTCGCAAATTTTAGTGATTTTTTTTTTGTTTTTGCTTTTTCAATGTCATTTCGTCGTCGCTACAGTTGTTCGAATCTATACCACGACCAATAAAAAAAAAACAAACTGCAAACTACACTGACGAATATGGGCGGTGGCGCTGGTATGCGTATGATGAGCTGCGTACCATGCAGATTAGCCGATGGCATAATGATCAAATCCACAGTTCCACATTTTGTTGTGAGTTGGATGTTTTTTCAAAATATGCTAATTTCTGACCCGATATATCGCCCGATGAGCAACTAGCAACACAGGAAGTCGTTAAATACGACGAAAGTTCGATACCGGATAATCACGTTACTTACCGACCACATCCAGGAAAGAGTCCCATTTTTGCTGCAAAAAACTATCACTTTTGGAAATGTTGTAATCCATTTCACTGGTTCCCTTACGAACTCTTCTGTACTGCAGAAGCTGTAAAAAACACCACCTCAGTTCAAAACCAACGCCCGAAGTGTACTGTAACGTAGCAGAGTTATTTTGATTTAATCGAACCTTTAGTCGGTTCGGTTTCGGTACAGCGATAAGATTTGTAGCTACTGAGCACTCGCGGTCGACTCGGTTTGGTGTCACTGTGGGTTCATTTAGTAATAACGCTTATTGTGAAGGAAAAAGAGAGAGAGATAATTGAGTTATGCGTAGTAGTAGTACCGGTTTACACGTATCAGTCAGAATATCATGATGAAGATTACAACGCGAGGTTTTCGCGTGGTTGTTTTTATTAAGTTAAGATGTTATTTCAAAGAATTATCTCATATCTGCACCATATGCATTCGGAAAAACTTGCTCGTACGCTGCATTCCATTGCAAGGACTGTCATTACATTTGTTGTATGAAACATATGCAAAGGATGTAATAAATCCACCCTTACATTGGATGTAAGAGAAATTTGTTTTGCGCGTGAATTCTACATAATGTGTCTGTCTCTGCTGTGATGTCTTGCTGGGTTCCTAGATTTCCAGATTTCGTTTCCGCCCCTTCGTAGTGTGTGGCCGACCCACCTCCACGCGTTCTCGAATTTCTGTTGATATCGCCTTGGTATGACATCGACGATGGAGCTCGGCGTTCGAGATCCAGTTGTGATAGCACCAAGTACAAAGGGTAATGAACACTAAAAAAATAAATCACATTTCCGATGGAAAATATCCATTAGAATTTCACATAACTTTCATTTGATTTCATAATTGGGAATCGCACAACGAAATCACATAAACCTTATGTGTCCAATGAATTTTATGTGATTTATCACATAGAATTCATGTGATCATATGAATTTTATGTGAAATTCGAGTAAAAATAATTAATTTGTTATTGGAAAAATATCATGTGCGTTTCCAATGGAAACTACAATATGAAAACTTTTTTCAGTGAAGAGCTACAGCTTCTGAACGCACCATGTTTTACTGGTGTAGAACCAGGCCCAACTTTACGATGGCCCGGGCCCCACTAATGTTATAAATTTTAATATCAAAACATAGAACCTTGTTTCATTTACATATTGGCGACTTATAACTCCATATGATATGATCAGATATCATTTGTTGTTATAAAAAAAGGTTCCACAGCAAGACATAAGCCACATTGTTACTAACTTCCAATGAGAATTGAACTTGATGCAAACAGCGCAATGCACATGCCTAGCGTTTAGAATCCTAATGGCTTCACTGTGATGATTAATTCTCTCTATCTAGGTTCTCTGTGAATTCTACAGTCAGATAATCATAAATCTTACATTTTTCCAGCGTGTTTTTGCAGGTTGTATTGACTAGCGAAAAATCAATGAAGAAAATCAATCATTGCAGGTTGGTTCTTCTGATTCTGAACACTGCATGTAATTTTAGCAAACGAATTAAGTATGTTAATGTGAGTTAATTATGGAAAAATGAGCGGATTACTTGTGAATGTAGATTTTTTATCAAGTCTAAAATAATATGCGAACTCGAAAAGACACAAATGCAATGATTACGAATAATTAGGTATACTCAACAAAGATTGGAAGAAGTTTAATAGCTTATTTAGGTAAAATGTGACTTATTCATCTTGAAAAAAGTTTGTTCAGTTTTTAATCAGTTTCCGTGAATGAATATAACGATGTAGAGCATACACGAACATGGGGCCTCCCTTAGCTCAGTCGGTAAAGATGCAGCTACAAAGCAAGACTATGCTGGAGGTGGCTGGATTCGATTCCCGGTCCGGTCTAGGAATTTTGCGTGTTGGAAAATTTCTCGACTTTCCTGGGCATAGAGTATGATTGTACTTGCCACACAATTATACTAATGTAAAAATGGAACAGGCATCGAAAGCTCTCAATTCATAACTGTGGAAGTGCATCTAGAACACTAAGTTGAGAGCACTCAATAATACACGAACACGAGTGCAAAACGTACTGATCAACTCTCTTATATTTGAGTGTTAACTCGGCTGCCAACAGAAGCATGTGTGTCATTAACCATTGTGTGGTCCTCCTCATTGTTCTTCATCAGCAGTTCTTTCGGTCGATTAGTCGCCGACTTTGGAAAGCAACCGTTTCGTGATGAGTGTGTGAGTGCTCACCACGTTTTGCGTCCATTGCTGCAATGGAAGCGCTCTGCCCCGCGTTGGCGAAACTGTCATACAATTAAAAAAGTGTAAGCGGCTCCCGTTCTCATGGAGGCGGCTTATTTGATAACGGAAGATAAGGTGTTTTTTTTTATTATTATAGTCACTTTAACGCTCTCGGGTCATTCGTGACTTGTCCGGGGGTGAGATTTGAACTCGTGACTTTGGCGTGAGAGGTATGGATGCTAACCACTACGCCGGGGTCGCCCCGAGATAAGGTGTTTATTTCGCTGTACCTTTTGACTATAGTTTTAAGATGTTTTGTATAGTGAACAAGCCTTCGATTCAGCCTTACCAAATAAATTAATAAACAAAAAAACAAAACTCTCCTATATCTTTGAAACCATTTGAATGGAAAGTCTCTCCATAGTTAAACCAAACCAATCAGTTCTTTCCGTGATAGATATATTAATAAACTCTCCAATAGTGGCATACCAACTGGCAGAGTACCGCTTGGGTTCCTATTTGACATAAATATCAGTCTTTCTGAATTGGATCTCACCTTAGAAAGCCTAGTAGGCTAGTAGCTTAGCGTTTTCAAAATATATGAAACTGTGACTAAGAAACGAACCCGTTTATTGCGAAAATCCTTCAAAAGTTGTTTTAAATAGAATTTGAAATATCACTTGAAGAACTAATTTTTGGTCTAAGGATCAGAGGTTCGAGTGTCTCAGTCTGACGAGATCTGAAAATGTATGTGTGTATGTGTTAATTACTCACTTTTATCGGCATTGGCGGAACCAATTTGAATGGAACAAGTTCCAGTTTGTGTATTAGTGGGCTACAGTAAAATCTTAGGAAATGTTTATTCCGATTGGATGTGTGGTTCCGGAGCAAAAAAGAGAAATTTGTCAAGTAGAACGGTGATACTCACTCATTTTTCTCGTATATTGCTTAACCGATTGGAGTGCAACCGGTTCCATTTTATTTGCATCTAACTCCCATAGAACCCTATTGAATTTAATTTCATTTCAGACATTTGGTTGCAGAGATATGTCCAAATGACCGGAATTTTAAAACAGCGAAACTCACTAGATTTCCAGGGAGATGACTGAACCGATTTGAATGCAACAAGGTCCGTTTTGTTTGTATCTAACTCCCATTGAACTCCATTGCATTTTATCCTGATCAGACATTTGGCTCCGGAGATATGACCAAACGAATGAAACTTTACAATAAATCAGAGAAATTCACTAGATTTTCACGGAGATGGCTAAATCGATTTGAATATAACTGTAACTGACTGTCATAGAACCCTATTGAATTTTATTCTGACAAGACATTTGGCTTCGGATATATGTCCAAAAGACTAAAATTTTATATTAAAAACGAAGGCGAACTAGCCTCAGGCTGAAAGCCTCCATCATAAAGAAAACTTAACTTAACGTATACTAAAACAGCGAAACTCACTCATTTTTCTTGGAAATGGCTGAAGCGAAACAGGTTCCGTTTTATTTGTATCTGACTTGATGGGAACCCTATTAAATTTGGTCCAAATCAGACATTTGGTTCCGGAAGGTATGAGGTAATAAGTTAAATTTTGCAATCAAACATGAATACTCTCTCGCTTTTCGCGGAGATGACTTAACCGATTTGATTGCCATTGGTTCATTTTTTGCATACGACTCTCTTGGAACCCCATTGAATTTTACCCCCATCAGACATTTGTTTCCGAAGATATGACGAAAAAAGTGACATTTTACTATAAAACCTTGATTAATCCACCTACCAGTGAAAAGTGCCTTTATCGTATAATATTAAATAGCTACTGATGACTATTGCAGGGATACCCGGAACATGCCAGAGTGTTGCCAATGTTAGACACTCAATATAAGTCTCCAGGGGTGTGAGGAAATGAATAAATAGGAATAGTAGTGTGCTACTTAGAGGCAAATTAGTTCAAGAACAAATTGTCAAATAGCCATAACTGCTTTTGTAGATAATAACTTCAAACATCAAATTGTCGAAACTACTAGCTCGGCCACGCAAACTTATACCATTAGCAAAATTTCCCCAACCTTAAGGTTGGGTGCGGGAAGTTACTATTTTGAGTTAAAACGCTTTAAGTAGTTGTCACTCGTTTACATGGACCTGTTTTTAAGTTGTTCTCTCAACATCAGCTTCAATCTACTCCACATTAAGTTCAACACCACTTACATGACACTCTGTTCGAGCGAGATAAGTAGAGAAATATCGATGCATGAGCATTCCTAGTAATGAGTGATGTAGTAAATTTCTCTCCACTTCTCTCACCGAATCAAAGTCGCCTGTATACTCACACTACCAGTGTCCGATCACCATCGATCACCGGTCAGCTGTGTAGTATATAGAGCAGTAGAACATTAGAACTAAATAAACCGTACCGATATATATAAATAACTAAATACATCGCCAGAGCGCGTTTGTCTTGTACCAAAAAAATATTCGTTTTGTGTTCGCATTAGAAAATAAAATGTTTAGTTTCGTTTTAAATAAAGTGTTCTTTAGGTTGTAATCGCGAGTTATTTAGCCAGTGTCCGAAATAACGGTTTACGCGCGAACACACTCCGACATATTCCGGTGACTATACTATTAAAGTAAGCTATTTTATATTACAAAGGCATTTGTCATTAGTAGGTGGATTATTCAAGGTTTTGACGAATAATCAAGACCCCAAAACACAGGCTAAGGGTTAAACAAAAAATATTAATAAGTTTGGTTTGAAGATTATGAAAATTAATGGCTGTAAAAATCGAATTTGGTGCACTCGATGCCACCCCCCCTATATGTTTGGCCCCGGGCCCCATAAACAGAACAGAGGGGGCCTCTTTGGGGAAATCGAATCGAAACGTTTTTCGTATGAATGCTTGCAGTTCCAGGCCAAATATATAAAATAAAATTGGCTCGATCTTCTCCGATTTGCATGATTTGCGTAATTGTTTGAAATGGGCAATCATTCACATT